TGACCCCTGAGGGACTCCACTAGACTCAGGCTTTCAACTTAGACTCTGTCCCATTGACCACAACTCTCTGACTTCTGCCTTTCAACCAGTTCACAATCCACCTCATTATATAAGATGGGAATACTTAGGTTTGATGGAACTTCAGGTGACCTTATATTCAGAGACAATCTCTCAGGTTTTGGAGGGGGTTTTTTGTTGGCTTATTTTTGTTTATTTGGTTTGTGGTGTGATTTTTTTTTTTTTTTTTTTACTTTGCTAATTAGTCAAGCAAATCATAATATGGCTTTCTTGTTTTCTATTTTTGTTTGCTTGTTTTTGGGGGTTTTTTTTGTATGATAGCTCAACAAAACCTGACAACCCAGCTACCAACCAGACAACAAGAGATTGAAATAAACAGACAACAGCGTTACTTCCGCATTCCCTTCATCCGTCCGGCAGACCAATACAAAGATCCCCAGAACAAGAAGAAGGGTTGGTGGTATGCACATTTTGATGGGCCATGGATTGCTCGACAAATGGAACTTCATCCTGACAAGGCGCCCATTCTCCTTGTAGCGGGTTGGTATTGAAAGCAAAATTCAAATGTTGAAAAGGTTCAGAGTTGATAACTTGCTTTAGAAAAAGAGGCTGATCATACAAGTTTCCCAGGTTGTATCCTCATTTTTTCATCAGCAGTTGTTATCTAGGCAGAATTTGAGGATTTGATTGAGGAATTAATGGTGGCCAAATGTTACAGAATATCATTTGGAGATGCAACTGGTCACATATTTTACTTGTACACGTATTTTAATTTGGTAAATCATAGACAGAGTGGGAATCCAAATGTAAATAGTTTTACGGTAAAGTGTCCTCAGACAATTCACTGAAATGGAGACAGCATGAAGATAAAATATTCACAGTTTATCCAGGAAAGTTTTACTCATCATTCTACTGGTTTTTAGTTAGCTTTGAAAAATTACAGCAGTTTGTATGAAAACAATTTGCACATATGATATATTGTCTTTCCATGGTATGATGCTAATAGCAGACTGATGCTTTTACCATATTTATGCTACCTAGTATGGGAGAATAGCTTTTTTAAAATCTTAAACATTTAAAATAAAAACTAAATGTGGTAATGGAAAGATAGAGATTGTTTTGGTAATGAAATATATCTTCCTTTTCTGGAGGATAATGAAAAAGGGAGAAAACATTGGAGAAATGCTGTTTACTGTTCCATGTTTTGTGGTTTTTGTACTTAACTTAGGGACTGAGGAAAAGGCCGTATAACCAATTTGTTCAGCTTCAGAGTGATGCTTTACTAATGACAAAAGTTCCTTGGTTTTCTGCTAATTATTTTTAATAGAATTCCTTATACCATCTGTTGCCTGTTCAGTGTCAAAACTCATAGCTAAAAGTAGCATTGCTGTCATGAATACCACATTCAATGGATCACCTATTAAAAATAAGATTAAAATATAACAAAAAAACCCACCAACTGGGTCTGACAACTGATTTTCCCAGAGATTGACAGAGGAAATCTAATTAACAAAGATCTAATCTTTCTTAATGGGTCCTTTGAATGATGTAAAAGCTTTATAAAGGTTTTTATTTTTCCCTTTACCATTTCAGGTAAGGATGATATGGATATGTGTGAGCTTAATCTTGATGAGACTGGCTTAACTCGAAAGCGAGGTGCTGAAATTTTGCCAAGACAGTTTGAAGAAATTTGGGAGCGCTGTGGAGGCATCCAGTATCTTCAAAATGCAATTGAAAGCAGACAGGCTCGTCCTACGTATGCTACAGCTATGCTGCAGAACCTGTTGAAGTAAACGGTCGTTCTGCACAGTATGTTCGAGATGAGAACCCTTGCCCGTGATACAAAGGGAAGAGTTCCTCTGTGCAACAGAGGGCGTAAACATTCTATAATCATATTAGAGATGTTTAATATAAAGTGAACAGATTTTATTAATCATGTGGCTTGTTAATTTGTACTTTATGATGTTTAATTTGTGTAGTGAACTTTACTAGGTATGAGGACCTTGAAGAAATTTCAGTCAGTGTAGTTGGTTGCATTTTGTTTTTATGTCTCATTTTCTTTAACAGTTTCAGATGTATCTCGTAACACTTTTAAGCAATCTGTCTATACTTGGGTACATATTACAAAGAACTGCATTGCAACCACCTTGTGATAAAGTCCCCACTTTAAGACACTGAATAGTTTGCTTCAAGTGGTGGCGTAGTAAAGAGGATATGCTGTTTCTAATAACTGGAATTGTGAGGCCTTAGCTTTGACTTCTGTTCTGGAGAAGTTGGAGTATACTTTTATATAATCTGAGACATTTTATGTCCTGATTCGCAAACTGGGTAGTGTCTGTATTTACTGACTTTTTCAGAAACTGATGGGAAATCCTCCTGAACTTGAGACCCGTAAATTCCTATTTAATGCATTCTCTGTCTTGGTTTAAGAGAAATGGTTTTCTGTACATCCTGAGAAGAGCATTCATGTATGTCAGTAATGTGTAATATTGGAGGTACTCGAAGAATGTACTGCTCATTAGGGCTTCTTCCACTTCTCTCTGTTTCCTTTTCCTTTTTCTCTTTAAGTACAAGTTTCCTTTAGACTTTTATTTTTCTGACCAAATTTCCATTAGGAACTATTGCACAGTTTGTTTATCTAGGTAGTGTAATTTCAATATATTATGGAAAAGTGTCCAAGACTTACATCTGGAGGCGTATAGGATTAAGGATAGCACAAGGGAAATATGTTCAGCCTCAGACATCCTGTTTATTTTAATTGTAACAAGATGCACAGTCTGTACCTTTTGTTAGATTGTACAAAAATAAGGTCCAATAACATAATGCATCATCTTAATGCTATGTGCTGATGAAATAGCTGCAGTTTTTAGTATACTGGAATATCATAGTGATTCAGACACTGAGCTTTATCTTAATTCTCCTCTGCCAAGTTTCATAGCTTGTAACAGTTCCCTTATTAAGCAGTTTGTTTTGGGAGTTTTTGTGGGTGGGAATTACTAATTTCATATAGTTTTAAGATGCATCTTATTCACTTACGTGAACATTGTTTCACCGTGCTGGACATTATTTCAACAAAATAAACTTTATTATTTATTATCTCTCCAATAGGAATTTGAAATATAAGTGGTTTGATGTCCAGTTACATATTCAAGCTGATTTAAAAATGAAGTCTTGCTCTATGAATCAACAAAGTTTGCTTACACTATAAAATAATTTCCTCACTGTTTATTCAGTTTGAAACCTCTTGGAAACTTTAGTTTTTAAATGCATGACTGTACTTAATTAATCGCTTTCAAGAGGTACAGTTCTGTAGCACAGAGAAAGCTCACGATGCATATGTCCTTGCTGACCTTAGATTGTGCTTGCATGCCACAGTCTTCTGCTTGCTCTAAATGCACTCCTTACTCTGATACATGTGGAGATATTTGAGTAACACATTAACTTTGTATGAATCTGCTGCATCAGGGAATCTCCATGTCCACTGTGTACCCAGTCTACTTTTTGGTCATGTGTTTGCAAATGAAAAAAATGTTTTCATTTTACCCAAACAAATTCTTCACTGGAGCAGCAATTTTTTGGCTGGAAGATGCAAGTGCATCAGCCTGCTGGCTAGCAAGTGGTGAACAAACCCTGTGCAGTGTTGCATGAGTTTAAGGTGCTGCTTATGAAATGTAGATTGCTGGTTTAACGTGTTACTGAATTGGAACCAAAGTTTCAGAACTTCCAGTCTCCAGAAACTTAGCACTGCAAGAAGCTACGATCGTTCATGTGATAGATACAAGGAAGAAAAATCACTGAACTGATAAGGCCTGAGATGCCCTTCCTTGTATTTGTTACTGTCTAGATTTAACTTCCTGACTTAACACATTCAGTCTCAGTTCGTGTATATATATATATATATATATATATAAAAAAAATCTTAGAATGGTTAGGGTTGGAAGGGACCTTAAAGATCACCTAGTTCCAACCCCCCTGCCATCAGCAGGGACACCTTCCACTAGACCAGGTTGCTCAAAGCCTCATCCAGCCTGGCCTTGAACACCTACAGGGAGGGGGCATCCACAGCTTCTCTGGGCAACCTGTGCCAGTGTCTGACCACCCTCACAGTAAACAATCTCTTCCTAATGTCTAATCTAAACCTCCCCTCTTCCAGTTTAAAGCCATTTCCCCTTGTTCTATCACTACCTGCCCTTGTAAAAAGTCCCTCCCCAGCTTTCTTGTAGGCCCCCTTTAGGTCTTTTGAGACTGAACATGGTAAGCAAAAAACCTCAATACTTAAAAGAGTGTGTGTGTGTGTATATGCACACGTATATATGCTTAAATATTTTAGTATGTGTATATATGAACATACTTGAGGGGAATTTAAAATAAATGAAATTGTTAACTTAATTTTTCCAGTCTGTTCCTTTGATTATGTTAGGATTTCCTTGACTGGCATCAGAAAGCAAATTTATTTTTCAGAATGGGGTATATGGGAATTCTTGTTAACTAAATAACTGGCAAATCTGAGCTATCAGGAAAATAAAATTGACTTTGAAATAGTGGAAGAGGATCTGGTGGCTGGATGTTCTCAAATGAGATGTTCCCATCTCTCTGCATTGCTCCAGCAGTGTGCCTGAGGCAAGCAGAAGACGCATTCCAAAAATCAGGGTATTTTAGTTTGCACAGTAGCATGATTTTTTTTTTCTGCACAAAAACCAGCATCTGCTTTTAGTTTTACTTATCTTTATGTTCAACAAAACTAATTTTCAGTTAATTTCAGATTATTTTTTTTTATGTCAGGCAGTATTCAGCTGCTTACCGATTGTTTCCGTTCCATCTGCTGTATCAGATAATTACACTGTTGGTTGATTTGAAGAAGAAATAAAAAAAAGAGGGAGGATGACCTGTAGAATTGTAGTATTAACTAATGCCCTTCTGATTATGGTTATAGAGAAAAATGTAGTTTGTATTTTAAAGCAAAATGATGAGGTAAACATGTTGGCTTGGTTCTGTGTGTTTGATTTAAAAAAACCAAAATCTTCCTGCCTCTCAGTGAAGTTGTCCATAATAGCTGAGGTCTTCTGCATGACACACTCCAGAGGAAGAGAACCACCATGCCAGGCTGCGTTCCTGACTAAGGTGACCCAGGAATATGAATTGTCTAGAGAATGCTACTTCAAGGATCACAGGGTCATTAAATACTATTCTTTCATCCACTGATAAGATTGTTTTTCTTTATCTAGTTGAAGCCTCTGAGTTTTTTTCTCTAAAATCTTTATTTAAAGTATTTAAATGACCTCCTAATACTGTACTGAAAATTAAAAAAAAAATAAATACATTCCATGTTGAAATCTCAGTTGTATCTCTCTTACCATTTTGTCTTTAAAGATTTAAAGTGGAATAAGTAAGGATAAATTAAGTTATGAGAAGGATAAAAGGTTTTCTGTGCTGGAACTGCCTAATGCTTTTCTATCAGATGTTTTTAGTGCTTAAAAATACTCTAGTAAAGATTTTGTCTTTACTTTCAAAGGAAAGTGTTCCTCTAAAATAAATATTCTGATTTTAAGAAGTTCTGATTTTGTTATCTTTAAGTCTCATACCTCGTTTCTGAGCATTGTTGAAACAGGTATCTATCTTTTTATTTCTGTTACTATTTTTTGACCTTTATTGCAATCACTTCCAATGTATTTATTTGGTGTGCATTGTACTGTTTACATCTTTTCGTCAGTGACTACTGAAACCACTTAAGATGCTTTGAGTTTGTATGCTGCAGGAAAAGCTTTACATTTGGGGTGGGGATGGTTTTGGGGGAATTTTTTGTTGTGGATTTGGTTTTGGGGTTTTTGGGGGGTTTTTTGTTGCTTTGTTTTTGTTTTTTTTTTTTTTTTTTTCAAAAAAGTGTTATCAAACTTTCCTGTCTTAAGGGCCAAATCAGAGTGGTATTTTTTTAATTTAAGAAGGTTGAAGTAATTCAGGTTTTGATATCTAGGAGATATAATTTTGTTTCATTTTCCTTATGACTTTCATTTCCAACCGTACCTTTGCATCAGTTTTCAAATAATGTGATGTGTCTTAGTGTGAGATTAAATACCAATTCAATTCCCTGTGAAATTTTCAAGTAAATAGTTTTATTATAGTTTATTGAAATACAAAAGGCTTACATCCAGCAAATATATTTGGTAATTAATAATTGAGAGTGATAAATACAGTCATGGATAATCATTATTAAAATACACAGTTTAAAATTACTTTTTTAAAAATCTGACTAGTGATAACTCGTATGAATTGAAATATACTAAACACATACAAAAATACATTTGTAATGGAAAAAAATTGAATGCTTTCAGCATTCTTAATGCATTCTTAACTTACATGAGCTGTAGTGAAAAGCTAACGTTTGTTGGCAGGGATGGCTTCCAGTGCCCTGCAAGAAGTATTTTTATATTTTGAAGTGTTACTGTGTAAAACCACATCTTAGGTTTATTGATTCCCATCTCAGTTAAATAAAGTAAGTCAAAATTACTATTTCAGCTGTAGAAACTCAACCTTGTATTCTTGGTGCATTGCCTTCATTTGTAGACATTCACTAGTTTTGGTGGTTGCAGGCAAATCTGTGCAGTTAATTGTTTGGAATTCGTAAACAGTTCTTTTGAGCATACATAATAAGGTAAACTGAAGTTCAGTCTTTGCTGTGGTAGCTGTGTGGTGCAAAGTAAAAAGGATTGTCACTAAAATCGGCTGCTATCCTGAATACATGAAAGTTTCACACCTGAATGAGGAACTGTCATCCAGTATAGTCATGAACTTTGTAGAAGCTCAGTTTGAGCTGTAAGTACAACTTCTGGTATGCACCAAGCAACAAACAGTGCCTGAATATTATACAACACTGGTGCAGCATATAAATACATATATATTTACTCAAGAAAGAGATGTTCAAGGTAAAGTAATGCTCATATTTGAATCAGGATTGTGGATCCACAGAACATACATTACTAAGCCTATAAAATACTTAATGGCCACTCATTGTCTGCTTATATTTGTTCTACAGAACCTAATAGTAACCTCCCTATTGTATACTGATTTTAAAGTGTGTCTACTGAGTTTAACGTGTACCTGCTTGTGTGTGACTCTAATCTTCTTGCTACTGGGAGAGTGCTTGTGAATAGAAATCTCACATGCTGAAAAGATGGAACTGGGGCTATTTTGCCTCAACAAAAAATTTGAAGCTGTAGGATAATACAGTTTAACTGTCACTGGAAATTAAGCAGTGGGGTGTGTATGTACATATGTATTCATAATGTGTTTATTAACAGAAAAGCAGGAATATGATATTCATAGAAACCATTAAAAAAATTAATCCCAACTTCTGTGTGATTTGCAATGTGAGTGTTGTGGGGAGAGAATTTAAAAGTTCCCAAACACTTTTAATGTGGCCTTTTGTCAATGACAGCTTTTACTTCTGTGTTTGCCACTTAAATTAGTGTATGTAAGGAAGGGTAATAAAAGGGTATAGAAATGCGGTGAAGGTTCACTGATGTTTTTACCAGAATGGTTGTGACATATGATGTTGAAAAAAGTCACTTCTTGGCAAAATCTGCTTCTAGCACGCAGCTCTTAAATAAAAATTCAGTTAAGATCTGTAAGGACTGGCTGCTTAATGCATGCATCTTAACTCTGGTGACTTTTTACTAGGCAAATTTCAGACATGGTCAAATAGTTGGTCAACTTGGTCATGTTGTGTTTCTTTAATAAATCAACTTGTTTAATGTGTTTTTAGATTTTAGAGCTGATTTTAGAGCTAAAATGTTATGTCTTTAGGAATCCTTGAATTCTTTTCATGTGCATAATCAATCTGAAGTCCAGTCTTGAATCATTCAGACCTTCTTTATTGAATACCTGTTGAGAGAAACTCTCATAAGACATTTGAAAAGCATTTTTGAATTTGAAAATGTATCATTTATCTACTGCTAATAGGCAAGATCTCACTAAAATATGTTGTGATAATCTCGAGTTCTTTGTAAGCAGAACTGAGTTAATCCTGAAGTTATTTTACACACTTAGTCATTGAGCTCAGAGTAAAATTATTATTTTTCCTCCCTGGTATAACGATGCTGTGGTTCTGTGTGAAATAACAAACAAATACCACTGATATCGTCATGATCTGAATAACATATTTTTGAATCTAAAATAATTAGAATGCAGTGTGCTACAAATGGAGCCGTATCTACAGGATGCACAGTTACAGCAGACCTGGGGTAAAATAGTCTTTGGGATGTTCAGCTTCTACACATTGTTTTAAGTGTAAGAGCAGCAACTGTGCCATGGAAGCTTGTAAATTCGTAAAACCTGATGCCTGGTATTCTCAAGCTAAGAGCACAGCATTTCCATCTCTGTGTGGTATTTTGGGTCTTCTTTCCTCCATGATTCTGGTAATGAAACACTAAATCTCTGATACTGGTTGGGGAGCTCTAACAGGTATCGTTGTTGTACTGCTTTAATCCAAAAGACTGTTTGCTTGATGATCCCAGTGACTGACACGAGGATGAAACAAATGTCAGTGTTTTCTCCTGAAATTTAATTTCAGTCATCTTTATTGGTGGCTGAGAGTCAGTTTTTCAGAGGATCATGCTATGTGTCAGCTACTGGTGTTGAATGAGCAAAGAATGATGTATTTTATGTATTTCTTAGGGAGAATCTATAATGACTTCTAGGCTTCATCTGAATTGCATCAGATGAAGTGATCTTTGTCCATGCCAATTAAATTCGGCATTATGAAACAATTTATTCTAGCGTCCTCTCATCCAGTGCTTTATTTCCAATGCTTCTGAGCTATTTTGTGTCAAGTATTTCTGGATCCTCTAAGGTTTTATGTTTGTTAAAATTTATTTTCTGTGCAGCACAGTTCTTTCCCAAGCTTAGAAAAGTTGGTGAAGACTCTAGATGAGATCTTTTTTCTTTTCAAGCGTTAGATCCACTACTGATTTTTTATTGAAAAAGAAGCCTATTCCCCCATGCCATGCATGAGCACAAATAAATGACAAGTTTATAGAATGGCATCCATTAGATCAACTGAAAAACTTTACAGACAGCTTGACTTAAGACCCTTACAGCTGAAAAGCAATGATGTGCTTTATTTTTCATCACTTTTTTTACTGAATAGAGAATGTCCAGCACAGTCACTAACAGGAACAGCAGTAGTCATATCAGCAGGATCATTTTTAGGGAGTTTTAGCACTTTTGACTCTCAGCTGTAGTAGGCCAACTGGATGTGGCCTTGTTGGCTGTATGTCTCAGTCTAAATGAGCTGATCCACTTGAATGTGTAAATTCTAGCTCATTGTCACATTCTGCTTTGGCCCAAAGAGAGATGACTATCACCATCATTTTATTCCTCATATTACACTCTGCGTGGAGCATGACATGCCACGTTCCTGGAGACCTGACCATGCAGAGAGGTAGCTGTGGTTTTCAGCTGCTTTCAAGAACTTGTGTTTTCTACTGAGGTCAGAGCGAAGGAAGAGCAAGTTCTTCACCTGGATGTGAAACGTTTGTTAATTCCTGGATGACTAATTGGGTAAGAATTTGCCCCCCTGATAACTAAGTTTTGCAATTATTTTCCATGTAGTGACCCTATAACTAAGCTGGAGATATTTTTCGTGCTTAGGAAGGTTATTTTAGCTACTACTGGAATTTTATGGTTATTTTCATGTATACCTTTATAAATACAGGGCTGTACTTACTGTATATAGTATGTCCTAAACAGCTGTCCCCGCTGTCATTATACATTGCAAAACAATTTAAAGACTGGAATTTTTAATTTAGCCTAAAGAATTCTAGATACCCACCTCCTCCTGAAAATTTAGTTCAAGTGCCATAGTGTGTATTAAAAATCCTAGCCCCCAAGGACTTTCCCAGATTGTGATATGGAAGTGGTGCTCTTAATTTCAGCTAATGAAAGCTGTATTCTACATGCATTTTTCTTCCTCCATCATCTTTTATCAGGTAATTAAAAAATGTGTTCAACATAAGGTCTCCGATGTAAACAAGCATTTTTAACTTAAGTAATGGTGAAAAATGGCCCAAACCACCTTTTAAAAAATAAAATAAAATAAAATAAAATAAATCTATTTTGTGGTTATCTCACTTCTCACTAAATTAACTTTCTTAACTAGATCTTTAGAAGAACTTTGTCAATATACTTTTGACAATTCAAATAGAGTCTAGAAGGACACAGGCCTGTTTTTCTTCCACAGATGTGCCATTTTATTTCTGTAATGAAATGTTTAATGCTTTTGTGAGTAGCAATTTTAAGTAGTTCAGCTGGTACAAAAGTTTATTGTTCTACAGTTACTCACAGACACATTTCTTTTAAGATGGGTGTAAAATACTAATTACAAATGTCTGCACACTTGCTTTTAGCAGCAGCAAAGGCAATACTTTCTCGAGCTTTTCCAAACTGCTGCTCCCTGCTGACTTGTCCATCTCTGTGGCTTTATTCCAGTTCCCCTTCTTGTCAGCTCAGTCTGTAACTGACACCTTGAGTACCTGAAGAAACCAGACCTGGGCAGGAATTCTCTGCCTGATGAAGATCAGTGAAAATAAATCTTTCTCTGTGGTATCATTACTTGTTGTTTTATTTACATAACTATGTAATGGCTCAAGCCAAAGATTCTTGGTGCCTGGTATCCTGTCTCCTGTAGGATAAACTTTGTGCCAGGGCAATCCTCTACTGTTATTTCCTTCAATAACAATGGATGCTAACACCTATAGTAAAACCTTTTTGTTCCTGTGATTCAGAATAATGAAAATTGCAAAGTAAAAGCTTTTTGTCTACATTTCAAGAAAGCATAGTGAGATGCATGAGAATTAAGAGATAGTCTGGCAATTCTGGAGAATTTTTTTACTCAGGTTTTCTCCTTTCTCTCTCTCTTTTTTTTTCTTTTTTTTTTTTTTTTAACCCCCAAAGATAGAAGAGGTTTCAATGTTTGAGAATATCTGCTGAACAAGTAAAATTCCTACTTGTTCAAACTCTATGCATCTTAAACAGGCACAAGTTATTTTAAAATGATCTTTGTTGCTTTTTCATTTTAGATATTTCTTCTTCCTTCATGTGTTTCAGTGAGTGCCACATTAGCACGTGAATATACAGAATGGAACTTTGTTGTATAAAAACACTTTAGAAAGGATTATTGTTGTCATGTCAAGCATCCAAAGAAAAACAGGCTTTGGTTTGTATGGAATTTGTAGAAAGAGGCCTCCTGATAACATTGACAAATGGAAAACTCAACAGATTTTTAAAGCTCTTTAAAATAATCACAAACCTTGGTTTAGTCTGGCTGATGCTGGGAATGAAGAATCTTAGAGACTATCTTGTCAGTCTTGGCCTTGTAAACTGGTCTGGTGACCTACTACAGTTTAAATAAATAAATAAATAAAGGAAACAAAACACTAGATTAGTTATTTCACAAAAAGCACTTGGGTAGGGTGGACCACCAAAGCCATGCAAGAGTGCTGTGAGAAAAGCAGTTCTACAATCCCGTTACGAAACCTACACAGCAGTAGATGTGGAAAGCAAATAAATGAATTAGTCTTTTTAGTTCTGAAATTGCCAAGCAAGAGATTAGGATCAAATTTGATTTAGTTGTAGAGTTAATACATGAAGGTGAACCTGTTATTTGAGGTGGGGCTGTTTGTTAAGGGGTAAGAAAAGTATTTCCATGCATTTTACCTCCACAGTGTATTGTGTTCCCAAGTTCATGTAATGTTTCATGATCAGTGATCTCTGAGGAACTGACACAAGCACTTACACTACAAGCCGTGTGACAAAAGCTAGTTAGGGGCTCGTCATGGTCAAAAGCAGGATTAATCCTTACAGCATTTTCTGAACTGAAGCTGTTGAGAGTAGAACTTCTACAATGCAGAACATTTTTGTTTAGGTGAGATTTTAAATTGCAAAAGAAAAAGGAATATTGTTAAATGTGAAGAAAAAGATCGTGAGCAGCTTACTGCAAATTAGAGTTTCTTTTGCTTTTTCTTCTTAACTTAATTAAAGTGATGAAAAGAAAAATAAGGCTTAGTAAGCCAAGAATGAGAGGTTTAAAAATGAAGGGTTGTATGGGTTCTGGAGCAAATTTTGCACAGCGCTGTCCTTGGTAAAGCTCGTGTTTACGTACAGGGCATCTAAAACAGGGAGAGGAAGAGAAAAAATATACAGAACTTGAAGGCAGGAAATACAGAATACCTCAAATGAAAACAAAGGAAAGTCTGCAATTAAATATAAAACATAGTATTTCCAATACAATTATTTGTTATGTGTCTGTATGAAATAATGTGATTAATTATTAATAGAGGAAAGAAAATATTCTTAGATTCTTGAGAGTGAGTCTTAAACAAGAAGACACTGATACATTCTTTGCCAACCTACAAATTTTAAGGAAATTGCATTTTGGGACATCTCTGACAAATTTCTAGCCCCACAGGTGAAGCTGAAATAACATTTGTAGTTTAGAACCTTAGAAGTTCAGGTGTGTTTTGGAGTAATGTCTAAACGCATTTTTGAATCCTATATGCTGTTCATTGGTGATTTTAATCTGAGTAGCAAGGTTTGAAATTAGAGTTCTAGTACAAATAGCTCCCTTTCAAGCAAGGGAAGCGATTGCCATATTGTATATGAGAACACAGGAGTCCCAGTCAGTGGAAAAAGTAGCCTGGTTCTGAGTAAATTCACAAGCAAAACAAGTGGTTAACTAAAGCAAATAATAGGTCATAATTTTCTGTCTGCAGACTATATAAGTTTGCAGAAGCTGTCAGTCAGAGACTGTTTCTGTGTAACTTGCTATAATCGGCAAAAAGTTTCATTTGTTATTGTTAGTATTTTTTTCATTCCAAAAGATGGTTTGGTTATTACTGTGTATCAAGTCGGGGCTTTTCTGAAATGGAAAGGTGTTATTTTCTTTAGCAGATTGGTCTTGGAGGAGTAGGCTCTACCCTTTGCTACTTGAGTACAGATTTGAAGAGGATCTCTTCAGTTTACAGGCTGATTTCTAGTACGAAATACTGCAGCTGCATTACTGCGACTCTGCAAGTCAGGAATTTATCAGTAACTGTCGTGAATTCAATATAATTTTCTGTTACAATTTCTGTGACACTGCAGAAAATGAATTATGTCAGTTATGTTGTTACAGTGATATTATCATATGAATAATTTGCTCATTAGTCTTATTTTCTGATGTTAACCCTAAATATGGTAAAAGGTGTATCATTAACCTAGTAAAGTCAATATTAAGAGAGAGAATAAACAAGTGCAAGAATTTTAACTTGTCTCTTGCTTATACACATGGCGGGTCAGCTACTGTGTGCCAGTCTGGTATACAGGGTTTCACATAATGCTCTAGACAGTCTAGTCTTACAGTGAGATGAAACCTGAGATTTTTAAAAGATAATTAATATGTTCAAGTGCTGTGGTAGTTCTCAATATTGGCTTAACATCATTTCATGTAAACATCCTTACGGAATATGTTTGCAGTTACGTGGAGCTGCTAATCTTCAAGTCTTTCCCAGAAAGTCCTGAAAGCAGCCTCAGCCTTTTTGTGCTTTATTGGGTGGTCTGGAATCAGAATAGTGTTCATAGGTGTGTTTATAAGAATATAGCTTTCCTTTTTAATACATCTTAGGAAAAAAATAATTTCTTAAAATACTACCATGTAATCAATAGCAAAACCATGAATGTGTTATTTAGTTTTTCCAAAATGTATTTGGAAAGCTGAAAAGAATGCATGGTTGTGTACTTGTTATCTCTGACAAAGATGCTGAATTTCTAATAAATTTCTAAAGCATCTCTAAAAAATGACTAGATCCTGATGTTCTGTGTGTACAAACAGGCAGAAATGGATTTATCCATAGTGAGACTACTTATACTGAAGAAGGGTATTGCAGTGTAGCTTAAAATGTCTGAATTTTGAAGTCTTGGTTTATTAGCATAGTTTATGCTGTTGAAAAGTATATACTCAGCCCTGCTTGTTCATGCAGTAGACATGTCAGGGGTCCGTTAACAGAGTTGATGTTAAGCACCATTTATTTACCTGCAGACAGCTCCTCTTCCTGGAACTAACTCACATTTCCCACCATTGATGCAAAGATGGGGTTCCAGCTCACACAGGCTCTGACAGGGTAATCCGTCTTGGCTTGCATAACCAGGTTTACAAAGGCAGTCAGCCTCTTTTGTCTCCTCCTTCGTTATGCATTCAGAAAACTCGTCACATGCCATGAATTTGCATGGGTCTGCCTGATCAGCTGTAAAGGATGGGTAAATAATTAATTGATGCATTACCCCAAAGTAACTTGGCAGGATTTGTGGCAACTTGAGAAAACAATTCACATTAACTGGCCTGCTAATTGTGCCTGTTAATAGGAGGGTATAGTCCAGTGTAAAGGGACACACATTCTTTCTGCAGATGACACAGCAAGGATGCAAGCTTGTATTTACTTGTACATTTGTTTACCCCATCATTGTGATTTCGTTTTCATCTCACTGACAAGGATTTTCACGTTTTGATATTTTGATCCTTTTTTACTATAAGTGTTAGTTCTGTACTCATGGGTACTATGCTACAACCTTGCATATCTGTAAGAAATAGTTTCAGCTGTAATCATCTTAAACACAAAATTTAGGACATGGTTAGGGAGGGAATTAGATTATTGAATATTACACAATACTATGAGGACTGCAACCTAGAAATACTGGCACTGTCTAAAGAAAACATGTGCTTGCAGGGCTTTTTTGGAAGCGATGTGTTAGTGTTGGGAAAACTTGTGATTTTTTTGTTGTTGTTTTTAAATATTAGTGAGGGATGCTACAGTGAGATTAAAGGAAAATGAGTCTGCTGATGTTCATAGGAAGGCCCAAATCAGAGACAGCCAAAAGTCCTAACTTCACCTGTCACACAAGTCTACTCCTTATTCTCTGCTTCTTACTATAAATGACAAAAAGACCCAGAAAGAGTAATTTGAACCCTGTGCTCAGCCAAACTGTGTGCTGCCAGGGTGATGAGGAGGAGGACTGCATCCACCAACATTGTCTTGTGGGGGCAAGTTTCCTGCATGCTAATGGAAAAAGCCCTTAGATAGAAGACAAAAGATAAGAAGCAGACTGGGGGATACAAATGCTGTCCTTGCCAGCAGGCAGTTTCAATAAGATGTGTGAATCCAGAAAAGAAGAAAAAAAAAAAGAAGGTGTACAGAGAGAAGGAGAGCACAGGAAAGGAGAGCACAAAAGACATGAGAGCAGATATACTGATATGAGCTGGGCAATGCAGGATAGTAGTTCCCGAGTGACCAGACCTGTTCAAAGAAAGTTTGCACATCTAGTCTTAGCTGTAGAGAGAGGAACTTGGTCTTAGGTCTGGTCTACAGGTATCAAAATCACCTAATGCATAAGTGCAGAAGGAAACCAGCCCTTTTCAGTTATGTGGGCTTAAAATTCCGTAAGAAAGAAAACCTGTAGTTCTAAAAGATTTGTACTGGATATTGCAGCTAGTACCTGTACGTACTGTGTGGGCTGAGTTTTTTCTTCTGGACCCACTTCATGACCCTAGATGTTCTGTAATACTAATTTAAATAAAAAATGAACATTGCTTTCTTTATAGTAGTACTTGAAATCTCAGCTACGCATTAGGATATGCTTAACTGGTATAAATTACTCCATCAGAGCTGTTCACTTTTAACCCCTCTATAATTCTATGGATAGTTCCTTTTTTTAATTTAAGACGAGTGAGTTTTAGCATGCTCAATTTCCCTTTGCTATATGTAATGTGCATGTTAATTTAGGGTCTACTTTGCTGCTGGACTGTAAATGTATGTATGTGTAAACTCTTAACAACTGGGCATCAAAGTAATACAGTAAGTAACAAGGTAACTTTATTGTCAGGCAAACCCTTGCTTATATGTAAAAAAAATTAAAAATATCTATTCCAAGTACTTTGCTTTGGTCATTGATACTACTGATTAGGAATTACAAAGTTTAGTCTCTAATGAGACAAAACTAACTGGCGAATCAAAAGGGGATATTAGTTCTTACAGATCTTTTCTTATCCCACACAAAGTTGCACTCCAAGCAAAAACAGACCACTTGCGAAGGAAAAAAGGTTAATAAAAGTGTTTGTATGATTGAGTAATTGATATAAACAGCTGCACTAGCTGGTTGTCTCCTGTAGTCTCTCCCTGGTTTTGATGGTCGCAGTTTACCTTCACAGTAGTGGAACTAAAGGTTGGTACTCCTAGTAAGGAGGGACAGGATCTGCCTAAGCATTACCTGCAGCTTTCAGAAGCTGAAAGGTCTCTCAGTACCTGTTTCCGTTTGACAAGCAAAGTTTGGCCTGAGCGTTTCACTGGGTTAGGGGGTCTTTTTTATATATTTTTTTAAATAATATTTCATTCTCCTTGATAAAATGTTGGGCTATGTACCTGCCATACTTTGTCATCTTTTCTGTGTTTTCACTTTCTTTACAGGAAAAAAAATGCATGCAGGTATTTTTACAAACCTGCTGTGCTATTCTTTATGGCATTATTTATGACCAATGCAGTCAGCCCTTTTCAGCTGCTGAGTCTTGACGTATATATTTTGGTTTGTAAGTTCCCATCGGTGTTTCAATGTGGTATAATATTATTACCACTAGATGGCTCTTACTTTCACAATAAATAGGAATTTCTTATTCTAGAAAGTTTCTAGGTCCCTATATTTAGCTCTGAAAAGCAGTTGGTGTATGTGCACGGACCAGCACCTCCACCCAGCATTTCATTGTAATATGGGAATATGTCTGCACATAATTTGCAACACCTTGGATTTTCTTATTACTCCTGATCACCTGGAGGCTATTGCCAGTATCATTAATTCCAAAACAGTAATACTTCTGAAGCTGTAACAATCAGGAAAAGACTATCTGCCTGCTTTTGCTTTTGCACACACATTATTCATTCAATCTTACCTGGCTCAATATCCAGAGAATAGCTGTCAATCTCCAGATTGAGGTGTTGGGCTGCAGCATCACAGAAATCTTCCAAAACACAGTGTACTGCTTCCGTGATATTGTATGGCACTGTCCTGGCAAATTTCATTTTGCTATTCACAATCACACTTCCGTTCCTGAAGTTAAGTATTTCCAGGTGCTTAAAACCTGTAAGGTTGGACTGAAGGTATGGAAGTAGCTGCAAAACAGAAATTTGCCTTTATTTTAACTTACTGTCAATGTCTACCTGCTATTAATTTATAGTCACTTTTCATTATCAAGTACACACATCACGCACTTATTTCTCTGAATTTAATACAGTTGTTAAACTCCACCACCAAATTAACTTTTCTGTTTAACACTCTTTTCTTCTGGACTTTTGCATCTTTCTCTATAATGTATTGAGATGGATGGGCAGCAATTTCCCCTGTAATGAAATGCACAGCAGTTGGGGAGTTTATTCATCTGGAAGAGAAAAAAATCACCTCACTCAAAAGCCAACTTTAATTATTTTCAAACGTTCAATCCCGGCAGGTTAGGGCATAGCATAATAGGCATGTTGCTGAGCTGAGCCTGCTGCCCTATTGTACCCATCGAGAAAATCCATATCTAATCATGTTCCTCCTGCTAAGCTATGATATATTTTTAAAAGGCCTATTTTTACGTCCAGCATGTAGACACAAGCCTTAGATGTAATCAACACTGCTATACTGTTGACATGAATCTAAGAAAAGGCCAAATAAATTAGACATCAGTGATATATCTGGTGTCTCTTGAACGAGTAAAAAATTTCATCACTGACTTCATAAACTCTTTCTTAATTCCCTGAGAGCATCCCAGGCGTATCAGTACTTTAAAAATACAGCTTGTCAGACTGAATTGTAGTAGGGTCTGATATCTTTAAAATACTGTGCTCTTCAGTGTATTTCTTTAAACTGTGCCCAACTACTGCATATATTCAAGTTGATTTTCACCCACCAATTGCACGAACTGTTGTTCTAGTGCTTTGTACTCTGGCGAACTCCTATTGAAGAGGTCATCAGAAAAGTGCATGTTGGTTACCCTCAGGCTGAAGAAAACTACTAGCTCTTTGCCTTTGGCTGCGGTTGTCATGGAGCTGGTAGTTACATACTTCAGCGTAGGAGCTGGGGTGGCTTCTGCAGGCTCAGTTGTCAGCATTGAGATATAACCGCTGCCATGCTCTGCTTCATCCAGTGTTGGTGTGCTCATCACACTGACGTGATCTAACATGGCAGCAATATCCTGCGTTACTGTCCCGACACCATCGGGAGGAACGCTCTCAGATGCCAGCACCAAGGAATCTGGTACTTCAAGAGACTGTTCGATGATCTGAGAGTGGCTGTAGGACGGGCTGGTTGCTGCAGGCAGCGGTGCTGTTTGGGTTGATGGTACCATGTCTGTAATAACATCTTCAGGCTGGGTAGTAGAGAGATCACTTGAACCGATAACGAAAGGCAACGTTTTTTTAATGCTGGCTGTAACTAAAATGTCATCGCCTGATGATTCTGAGTCTTCCATGATCTTAACTGCTGCAAAAAAAACAGGGGGGAAACAAATAACTATTTTGAAAAGCAAGCATAACAAACATCAAGCATGGTTTTGTATTGTATACATGTATACAACATGTATATTGTATTTCAACTGAAGCATTTTTAAAAGCAAGCCTTACCACTATCTAAACATTTTTTCCATCACCAAGAAACAATTACTGTAATGAAACATCTCATCCACATATTTAAGTGGAGAGATTTCTGTGGGTGCTGTGTTTAAATAATAATTTCACTTGGTAAGTATTTTGTGAGCCATTCCAAAGTGCGTTCTTGTTTTGAAGGGACATAATCACACTGTCAGTTTATATTGACTGAAAGAGTAGATCACAGCTTTGAGCTGTCTGCTCGGATCAGTTGTATGCCAGGGTCATTCTGTTCCCCTCTGCGAGAGGTTAAAGCTATTATTTGCCAGTAATAGTAAAATGTGGTTAAGAAAAACACTACAGCCTCTTTAAATGCAAACTCTGTCGATTCACCTAGAAGACAACAGCACCAGTGAAAAAGAATTCCGACCTTAGGAAATAATCTGTTGCACGTGAAGCCGCCATTTGATCCAGATGCTGAACTTTTAGGAGGTCCCCACTGGGGCTTGGCATGGATCTAGGATGTGTGATAGCTGTAGCTGAAATCCAGATCTAAAGTGTGAGGAATGAGAATGAATTTGGCTTGCAACTACCTGGCCACAATGGCTTCACAGAAAACGATGGCCTCCAAGCAATGGACATCTACCCAAGCTAACAACTTTGTCCTTTTCCACGGAGGTACTTATGTGGGCTCTTCACATGGGACTTTTAGCAGCTGCCTACAGGTAAAATCACTTATCAGCTGATAGGAAAGAAGTTTTTCTCCAATGGATGAACTCTTCTATTCCCTGCATGCTAATTTCCTCCCAGTGGCCAATGAAAGTACTAAAGGAGAGCAAACTTTTGCATTGGGAATAACTTTGACTGAAGGAGCTGGCAACTATCCTGTCCATGGTATAGAAGTTGCCCAATGGATGTTTTTTGAGTCCATTTCTGTTTCTTTGTCTAAATGAATGAAGCCCAACTTTCTGCTTATTGTATTGATGTTTTTAGGAACAAATGTACCTTTTCAACAAAGAAAATCTTAACAGAAGATAGCTGTCTATTTTCTTGACACTGTTAATTTAACAGCATGCACTACCTCTTTGTTACCTCCTTGCAGACACAATGCCTTGATCTAATGTGGATCATTTTCTGTATAGCTATATATATATCCCCATTCTGCTCAGCTGACCTCACTTCTCAAAACAGCAAAGAATTGTTCCAAGGCACAGTACGCAGTTTTACTAGAATTAGGTGCTTGAAAAGGTTTTCTACCATCTGGCTAGCTAATGTGATGATGGACACACATTTTTTATACTTTGGCACATTGGAACAGAACAGTAGGAACTTGGTGCTGCCAAGGTTTTCCAGAGACCAGGTTTTAGGGAAGGCAACTGCTGCCTATTTTGCCCTTAACACTAGCTGGCTGATGGTGAGTTATTGAAGATTACTCATCTCTGTCAATATTTAGTATCCTGTTCCCATATTAGACAAGGCAATTTTTTATAGTTAATTCTGTTGCCTTCATCTGCATGCATGAAATTTTTTCCCCCAAGTGCCTAATTTTAACTGGCAGAATATATGGAAACCAGAATGACTTAGATGACAAAAATTTCCACTTGATAAAAGGCTGTGAACTCACTGAAAAACTAGAGTAGCATAAAACTTGAGCAAGTGATATCAGCATATTTGGATTTGTCCTGAGGATCAGGAGCATCCAGTCCTATGGCCCTTAGGGGAAAAGCATTCTGCCAAATTATAAAATAGCTCCTTACCTTTCACATGATGAATGAAAGGTAAGGAACTTTCTCCCACCTCCCTCCCCCATCCCCAGTGGCTGGAGCGTACAGAATAACAAGTGAGTACTGGTGATTCTGGGAAAAACTCTGAAGTACACTGCTACTATGAGGCATCTGTGTTGGATGGGATGCAGAAAAAGACCAAGTGCTGCATTCTCCTTTACTGCAAGGTGGTGATCTGAAAGCACAACAGGACCATGAAGCGAGTGCAGCAAATTCCCATTTAAACTAACACAGTTATGCAGTCTCCTTTTATTTGTTGTGATATGTAATTTGCACTGCTGATAGGATAATACAAAGGCTGCAGTCCTAGTCCCTCCAGTCCTAGAGAGTAGCCAAAAAAGAATAGCAAGGTGCTGTATGGAACCCATGGTTGTGCATGCTGCATGTAACACCAAACACCACGCTGCAGCTTGGTGCCTTAATACTTTACTGAGAACTTGAGATGCTTTTCTTTTGTTGTGTCCTCGTGTTTCTTGTGTAATCAAGGATACGGACAGATTAGAAAAATAAAGCCTAGTGATGGTCTCTGTTTACAAAGCTCTTGCTGTTATGCTGATAAGGAGTGAGAGTCACTTAGTTAAGGGAACTCAGAACAGATTTCTTAGCATTAGTGCTTGAGGCTTTAATGCAGGATGATCTACTGATGGGATGAACCTGCAGCTCCACAGAGCAGCCTTCTCTCAGCATGACAACATACACTCAACCATATGATTGTGATGGTATTTGTTAGGTAGAACAGATCATATTTTAGAAAGAGGTAACTACAGGAGAAAGAAGTACTGAAATGGCTTTGAAATTGCTGCAAGTTTGAAGCAGAGTAATCATATATATATCACAGATTTGGCATACAGCCATGTATATATGTGTGTGTATATATATAGCCTATACATAAAGGTCTTCTGGCATCCTCTTATTACAAGCAAAGCAATTTAAAAGGCCTTGAGGACATACCAAGATCATCTTTGCGCACGTATCACCTGTTTTCACAAGCTGCCAATTCTTACCAGTCACTGTGTCTCCAGCTGAGATAGTGACTCACCACAGAGGCGGTGTTAGTCCCTTGCAATGGGAAAGTAAACAGGTTCACCTAAAAAGCTGCTGAGTGCTTACTGATGCACAACACCAGTCCCAAACCCAGGGGTTACTGATCCCTTCTATTGGTGGCACTTTGTTTAATCCATGTTATGTTACTCTGCAAGATTTGCCTACACAAGTGGTAAGTTAAAATCAGCAGTAGAATGATTTGCGACTGGTTTTGCCAAGCTTTTCCACTGTCTGCATGAGACTTGGATAAAAATAAATCCTAAGGACTTAAAAACTATGGATGAAACAAAGAAGATCTAGGCATTTGGAATGAAAAAAACCAAAAACCAATCCAAACTTTTGCATCTAAAATATTTTTTTTATATAACTAATATAGATTGGTTTTCAGATTAGATATAAAGAAAACATTTTTTACAATGAGGGTGGTGAAACACTGGAACAGGTTGCCCAGAGAGGTGGTAGAAGCCCTATCCCTGGAAACATTCAAGGTCAGGTTGGATGGGGTTCTGAGCAACCTGATCTAGTTGAAGATGTCCTTAATCATTGCAGGGGGGTTGGACAAGATGACCTTCAAAGGCCCCATCCAACCCAAACCATTTTATGATTCTATTACTCTATATGCATGCATATATATATATAAATAAAATATAAAATTTTGAAATGGAACACAAAATAAACTTAAACTGGTTCATCATAAAGCAATTATTTGTAAAGCTTCACCCAGTTTGCCTTATAGATGAGGTTTTTACAGCAGAAGGCTAGAAAAAACACAGACAATTATTTTATGAAGCCTTTAAAAGTACAAACACTGAAGATTTAGACATTCTTAATCTCAGCATATTTAATTTCAGCATACCTTTTGGTCTACAACACTATCATTCAGGTGCAGGGAACCCATAGAGAGTATGAAATAAGATGCTGAACTCAAATACACCCCCAGAGTAACAATATTGACTGTTAAATGATGGCATGGAATTGAAAACTGCTGTCAGCAATAAAAAACTCAGCTCTCCCAGCCACCACTTACCCTCTCACAAAGACATTCACTGAACTCTCCAGATGTTTTTTTTTGTATTACATGGACGAGGCAGGACAATACTGTAGTGAGGAGAGTTTTAGATCTAAAATTAAACTGCTGTTGGTGAAGATGTGTAAACACTAAATTAAGAGGCAATTTCCAGGGCACATTGCTGTATTTCATCTTTGTAAAATCAGTGCTGCATGCGGGCATTTATTCCCAACTGAAGGAGTAAAATACACAGGTTTGACTTTTCAGAAAAAAATCAACTGCCATTTCAACAACTTTGGGTATCTAATTAATTGCTTCTCTTGTATTTTAAAAAGTAGAAAAACCCCTCCTAATTTAGCATGAATAAGGAGGGTTTTTTGGGGGGAAAGGTCAGATTGTCATCAGACATTTTTCTAGTGGGTTTGCATTAATAAGGAGGCCCAGAAGGTTATATATTAAGAGGTCCTGACATTTTATTTCATTCACGAGCTTAATAAGCACTGACATTTCCTGTTGGCCACAGACAAATTTTCAAAGTCCACTGACAGATACTGTTCTGTATATGAAAGTTACAGTATTATTACAGTGTAAATCTATATAATTGTATACATGATGGCTGAAGAAAATAACTAACAAAGGAAAAAGTATGCAATTAAGAGACTGGTCCATAATGCAGGGTGAGATTCTCCTTACGGACAGCTCTGCTGATATAAATACCAGACAGAATGTTACAGCAAGTGTCTGGATTCAAATTTACATAAAATCCCTGGATGCAGGACTGTTGTGTACAGACAAATAGATAAAATGCTGAATCTGTGTTTGAGGTCTTTCATTTTTAACTAGGGCACAAGTAAGATAAAGATTAAGATAATTAAGTGAAGAGGGTCATTAACCTAACATGTCGTAACAAATGTCTCACAGCACATAATTACTGATTAAGTTTGTCTTTTTAACTGTAAAGCCAAGGCAGAATGATCGATGGCTGTCATTCTGTCCATATATATGAACTCTCCAGAAGCCAGTGAAACCAGCAGACCTCCTTCTCCACTGACTCCAGTG